TGTTACTATGCCCTTTGCTCCCAGTAGCTTCTGATTCCTGATTCCTAGTTGCAATGCCAGGAGCCCCTAATAGCGTCCTTGTTACTAGTAGCGATGCCCTTGGCTCCTAGTAGCTTGTTCACAGTAGCAGCCGCTAATGGCGTCCGTGTTACTAGCAGCGATGCCAGGAGCCCCTAATAGCGTCCTTGTTACTAGTAGCGATGCCCTTTTCTCCTGGTAGCTGCTGGTTTCTAGTAGCAGTGCCAGGAGCCCCTAATAGCGTCCTTGTTTCTAGCAGCGGCGCCCTTTGCTCCTAGTAGCTTCTTATTGCTAGTGGCGATGCCAGGAGCCCCTAATAGCGTCTTTGTTACTGGTAGGGATGACCTTTGCTCCTAGTAGCTTCTTGTTCCTATTAGCGATGCCAGGAGCCCCAAATAACGTCCTTGTTACTCGTAGCGATGCCCTTTGCTCCTAGTAGCTTCTTGTTCGTAGCCAGGAGCCCCTACTAACGTCCTTGCTACTAGTAGCGATGCCCTTTGCTCCTGGTAGCTTCTTGTTCCTAGTGGTGATGCCAGGAGCCTGTAATAGCATCCTTGTTACTAGCAGCGATGCCCTTTCCTCCTAGTAGCTTCTTGTTCCTAGTAGCAATGCCAGGGGCCTAATAGCGTCCTTGTGACTGGTAGCGGTGCCCTTTGCTTCTAGTAGCTAGCTGCTTTTTGTTCTTAGTAGCAGTGCCAGAAGCCCCCAATTGCGTCCTTGCTTGTTACTGGTAGCGATGCCCTTTGCTCCTAGTAGCTTCTTGTTCCTAGTAGCAATGCAAAGGGCCCCTAATAGCGTCCTTGTTACTAGTAGCGATGCCCTTTTGTTTCTAGTAGAAATGCCAGGAGCCACTAATTGCGCGCCTGTTACTAGTAGCGATGCCCTTTGCTCCTACTAGCCTCTTCTTCCTAGTAGCAGGAGCCCTTAATAGCGTCCTTGTTACTAGTCGCGGTGCCCTTTGCTCCTAGTAGCTTCTTGTTCCTAGTAGTGCTGCCAGAAGCCCCTAATAGCGTTCTTGTTGCTAGTAGAGATACCCTTTGCTCCTACTAGTTTCTTCTTCCAAGTAGCGATGCCTGCTTTTTAGTATCAATGCCAGGAGCCCCTAAACACAACCTTGTTACTAGTAGCAACGACCCTTGCTCCTAGTAGCTTCTTGATCCTAGTAGCGATGCCAGGAGCCCCTAATAGCGCCCTTGTTGCTAGTAGCGATGCCCTTTGCTCCTAGTCGCTTCTTGTTCCTAGTAGCGATGCCAGGAGCCCCTAACGGCGTCTTGTTAGTAGTAGCGATGCCCTTTGGTCCTAGTAGCTTCTTTTCCTGGCGGCGATGCCAGGAGCCCCTAATAGCGTCCTTGTGACTAGTAGCGATGCCCTTTGTTGCTCCTAGTAGCTTCTTATTCCTAGTAGCAATGCCAGGAGCCCCC